GTCAGCCCCGGGCCAGTCCTCTCTCAAAGCGCCTCAGCGACCTCGGCCCCTGGGGCCCTGTCTCCCTCCCGGCCTCCCTCGGCAGCGTCAGCGACCCAGCGACCAGGGCAGGCGCCGGAGGGAGTTGAGAGCTGGAAGGTGCTGCGCCCCTCGGCCAGGGTCTGGGGACAACTTGGCACAAACCTCCACCTAGCGCCTGGGAGGGCTTGATGGGTCCCAGCTGGCCGTGGGGCTGGCGAGCGCTCCAAGTCCCCGGCGGACTCCCTTCTCTCGAGTCTCTCCCAGGGTCGCTGGGGGTTTCCTCCTCCCCACAGGCTGGGGAGGGCGAGGAACCTTTCCACCCTCCTGTCCCCTCGCAGGGTTTGACTTTGGAGATCGGAGAACGCGCAGTGGAGAGGAGCCTGGGCTCCCACGTCAGATGGCCTGTGCTCCAACCCCAAGTTCAAATTCCAAGTCCATGGTAATTGCGTTTTCCATTCTTCAGTGCTCCATTTTTTAATCTTGTAAAATGGGAATAATAGTACCACCACAAGGCTACCGTGAGGGCTGCAAAGGTTTCAGTGTGGAAGAGCTGGCCTGAAGCAGTTGCCGAGACTGAGGCTGCTGTTATGCTGTGATTTCCTGTTAGTACGCTGTGATTTCCAGAGTGTACAGGGGTCCACAGACAGACTAGTTCTGGAAGGAAGGAAGGAAGGAAGGAAGGAAGGGAGGGAGGGAGGGAGGAAGGAAGGAATTGTAAGATCCCTGCTCGGGGCTTTATCTCAACTCCCCACCCCCCACCCAGTGTCTAAAATATTTCAGCCACCCCAAACTTCTGCCCAGTCTTTTGGCTTCCTGTCACTTGCGGAGTGCCAACTTCCACTGTGACTTACACAACGGTGTCCGTTTTGCTCCCCGTAGAAGTCCAGGAGGTGTGGGACAGTCACCTAGAAGGTCAGGGGTGGCCAGGCCAGGGCTAGAGTGCTTCTCCAAAGTTCTACCATATTCTGCCAGGAGTACCCTAGGAATTGGGGGGCCGGGTCCTACCTAGGGGGTGGCTTTGAAGTGTCCTTCCCTCTGAAGGGAATGAGGGCTGCTCCGCCTTACTCCCCAGGGGGATCCTCCGTCCATCTCCGTTGCCCTCCCTAGGTTCTGCCTCAAAACCTGGAGCCCTGAACCAGGAGATGACGCGGTGATCCTCCCGACCTGGGAGTGCTTCCTTCCGCTCCTCTGTTCCGTCTCCCCCTCAGCAGTGATTTTCTGAGCAGCGTCACGTGCCAAGTGCAGCACCCAGCACCAAGACAGAGCACCCTTGCAAAAAAAGAGACCATAAAGCAAATTAATCCACGAAGGCAGGATCTAATGTCAGATGACAATAGATGCTTCGGAGGAGTGGACCAAAGTGACCGAGGCAAGGGTGGCAAAGGAAAGCCCCAGGACTGAGGAGCCACAAGATTTTTCTTTGCCGCTCCCTCCCATATCTGCAGTCCCCATCCTGGGGGAGGAAGAAACTACTTCCTTAGGGCTGACTGGGAGAGTGACAGGGAGAAGAGGGCAGCTAGGGATCCACGTGCCAGATGACAGTGGGGCAGGACCTCCAGCAGAGGCTCCACAGATCCCCCCCCACTCTGAATTCTGATGCAGTGAAGGAAGGGCATGCAGATGGTGCGTCAGGGGACCTCATGGGAGGCAGGTAGCAGTGCCACGTGCCAAGTGAGAAATACCACACCTGGGGAGCAGAGGGCAGGCCAGAGCCAAGCTTTGGTGCTGTCCACCAGCCAGAAGGTGTGCCCTGCACCTTGCTGAGGGACTGGGCAGCAGTGGCTAGGCATTCAGCTAGGGCAAGAGGTACGCTGGCTGCGTGGAGGATGGACCGGTGATTGAACACAGGACGCCTAGCTCTCTCCCAGGAAGGCGTGTGGGAAGGGAGCCAGGAGGGGGGGACAGTGGAAGTGTGTGTGAAGGTTTCAAAGGAGCCACCTGGAACGTCATCACACAGACACAGCAAACCTGCAGCCCTTCCTCACCTGTAGGCAGGGACATGCTCATTCCTTCTCAGGCCATCTGTAAGGAACAATATGGAGGGTGCAAGATGATCACCCCAAGGTTAAAGGGCCCTGGCTCAACGGGAGAGACTGACGGCGGGCATTGAATGAGTGCCCCGAGTGCCCAGGGATGGAATCCTGCAGTGGCCAGAAAACTTGAATAATGAGCAGCAGTAAACAGGCCATTAGAGCCCAGGCTGGGGAGATGGTAAGAGGCAGCCCAGAAACTTCCTGGGATGCAGGAGATTATTGGCTTGAGTGCACTTGGCCCAGAGGCGACTGGGAATATTGCATAATGGCAGCTGTGCCTGTCCTGGGCTCTGCGCTCCTCTGCTTCATTTCTAGAATAAAACAGGGTGAGAAAGGGGAAGGGAGGCCACACCCCCCTAGGTGCCTGCAGTTGGCTCCTGGACTCGGGAGCCTGGGATGGCCTGCGTGACTGCAACTCCTTGACAAAAACATAAGTCTCTAAGCTTCTAGGAACCTCAGGACGTTTTCATTCATTCATTCAACACACATTTGATGAGCACCTGCGTGGTGACAAGCCCTGCAGGGGACAAGGCAGCCCTGGCTCCCGCTTGGAAAGAACTCGCTGTTCTCCACTGGGGCACGGGCCCAGGAGGGCCCGCACGCTATTACTTTTTGACACTTGATTTTGGAAGAGGAGGTGAGTGGCAACTCATTGTCTTTGGCTAGAGGAAACCCAAGACTCTTGGAACCGCACTGGAAGGTTGGGAGAAACTGAGGGGGTGAGGGTTGCGCAAGCCCAGCATTAACATTTGATTCTACAGATATCTGTGGGCACCAGACACCTAAAAGGGCTGCCCTGAAGGAACCACTGACTAACAGGATTGGGATGTGCGCGTGTTCAGGCAACCGGAAAACCACAGGTCTGAAATGGAGAGGAGACAAAGGTTAGCATCAACACCGATGGAGAGGAACTCCAAACCCCAAGTCAGACAAAAAGCACAGGGTTGGTGTGGATCATTCCAAGTCCAGGGAACCAGCTTCTAGGAACTGAAAGAAACTTTGATTGGACAGGAGTATTTGGAATCATGGTAGGTTTGCCCACTTTTTTTACTATCTCAGGTTGGAAGATGATTTGGTGTCTTTAAAACTCAGTCTACCCATACACAAAATGGGTATGTGACCCCTGTGTGGCCTAATCCAGGTGATTCCTGGCAAAATAGATGCCTAAATAATACAAGGTCCTTTATGGCTTGGGCCTGCTGGCCAGAGAGACAGGGTTCCTGACAGCTGCAGGGGAAGAGTTCAGGCCTGGGCACCCCTGGCTTGGTTTGAGGAATATCTTCAATAACAAGTGCTTCAAGGTAGACTGGCAATGGAAACCAGATGTGAGATCCCGTGAGCAAGAACCAGAGGTACCAAAGGTTGGGGTGAGGTGAGAATTAGCCCAGATGACGTTGCATGTAGATGCTGACTCCCCCACTCTGCTGGGGTCTAGAGTATCAGGCCCTTTGTCCTTTCGCCTGCCCCTCCCCCACCCCTCTGTTGAGGTCCCTCTCCCATCCAGGGATCTCCCTTGCAGTTTAGGGATCCCTGGTTTCCTTCCATTTGAGCGGGAGGTCTGTTCATCTCTTTGGGTCCGGCTGTCAGCATAAGGGGCAGGACTAACTTCTGCTTGGGTTTCAAGATAGGTGCTGCTACTTCTCACTGTGTGACCCCTGCTGGTGACCTCTCTGAACCTCATTTGGTGGACTGGAAAACCGGGGACCCCAGGCTCTGTCACTCACGTTTGTGGTGAGGTGCGATCCATGATGAGCCACATGGAAGGAAGGGTCCCCACGGGTTCTTTTCCCTCGGTGTGTACAGGCTCTGGGACAAGCTGGTAGGAAAACCACAACCCACCAAATCCGAGCCCGAAGCTTCACAACGGAGGATGAAGAGGCCAGAGAAAGAAGACGCCACCTGCCCCTCAGCCCTGGGTGACAGAGCAACAGTTGGGCAAAGCTAGCAGATCTCCAGAATCCTTATTATCAACTCAGACCGCCAGAAACCTCGGCTGGGCACCCACAGAGGTGATGGCCCCAGGGAAGGAAGAGGAGAGCGCGGCTCTAAAGCTTCTGAAGCCGTCCAGGCGGAGGGTCCCTCCAGTGGTTGAATGAGCACAGACCCTGCAGCACCCGCCAGCGCCTTCACAGGGCAGGAGAATGGTAAGGAGCCAGTGCAGGGTGCCCAGGAGTGTGAGTCAACCTCGTGGGGAAACCAGTGTGGACTGGAAACCTAGGAAGAGGTACCAGCAGCCTGTCGGCAGCTGTGTGCCAAGTTGGAGCCAAGGGTTCAAACCACTCTTGCACTCACTCGCAGGCCAGCGGCTGCCCATCTGATTGTGAATGTCAAAATTCGTTAGTTTTTTTTTTTTTTTTAACCTGTCACCAAAATTTGCATTCCCCCATTCTAGGCAGAGAGGGGAAGGTAACGGGATCCCCAGGGCTCCCATGCTGAACTGCGAATTGGCACCTTGTCCTCCCATCCCAGCCTAAAATCCAAAAGCCCTAGGGCGCCTCCGGCTTGCGTTCCCACTAGAGAATTAGTAGCATCTTCACAAAAGAGGAAAGAAGGGGGCCAAGCGGGTGGTAGGAGAATAGGGAGCGAGGAGGAGGGGAAGAAGGGGGGGAGCAGGAAGGAGCAAGTCAGGGGGAAAATCACTTTTTTTTTTTTTCTGCCTCAAAAACCTTAAGAGGGTTTGGGAGATCTGGTCAACTTTCCGAAACATCTGAATCTTTTTACAGCTCCCCGTTCTTTCCCTGGGCCAGCTGTGGTGAGGGAGAAAGGAGAGAGAGAGAGGGGGGGGGGGGGGGGGGGGGGGGGGGTTTTAGAGAGAGAGAGAGAGAGAGAGAGAGAGAGAGAGGCGTGGAGGGGGAGGAGGGAGACAGCGAGCAGGCCGGGCGCGGAGTGCACAGCCACCGCCTCCTCGCCTCTCCAAACTCCCGGCCAAGGCGCGCGGTGGCGTCCTCGCGCCCTCGCCGGCGCCCCCGCCCGTCGCCCGCGCAAGCCAGGCATGAATGCTGAGACTTGCGTCTCTTACTGCGAGTCGCCGGCCGCTGCCATGGACGCCTACTACAGCCCGGTGTCGCAGAACCGGGAGGGCTCGTCGCCTTTTAGGGGATTCCCCGGCGGCGATAAGTTCGGCGCAACTTTCCTGTCGGCCGCTGCAAAAGGGCAGGGATTTGGGGACGCCAAGAACCGGGCCCGCTACGGCGCCGGGCAGCAGGACCTGGCGGCACCCCTGGAGAGTGGCGCCGGGGCGCGGGGCTCCTTTAACAAGTTCCAGCCTCAGCCTCAGACCCCGCAGCCCCAGCCGCCCGCGCAGCCGCCCCAGCCGCAGCCGCCCGCGCAGCAGCCGCATCTTTATTTGCAGCGAGGCGCCTGCAAGACACCCCCGGACGGCAGCCTCAAACTTCAGGAAGGCAGCAGCGGCCACAACGCGGCCTTGCAGGTCCCCTGCTACGGTGAGTGCACACGCCGGTCACCTGAGGCTGGGGCCCGGGGGTCCTTGGCTTCGCCACCCCCGAAATCCACGTAGCTTGCGGAAGGCAGAAGTTTGCGAGCCGCGGAGGCGCGGGCGAGCGGTGGGTGATTCTGGGTTGGAAAATGAGGATCGACCGCATCGAGGGGGCCGCGGGATCGGTTCTGCCTCCTTCGTACCCCCCGGCCTAGGTCGCGCAGCGATTTGGTTGTTAAACTCGCCCGGGGGGGTTGGGTTTTCCCGGTCTCTCCGCCGGTTCCCAAACCGCTCGTGTGCGCTGCCGGCGGGGCCGGATCGGAAGGGGATTGCTTCGTCCTGGCCCAGGGCGCGCGGCTGGAAGGAATCAGGCGCAGTGCTCGGGTCCGGGGCTCCCGGGCTGCGGAGGTTCCGCTCCTCGCCAGCTCGGGGCTCCTCGCGCGGCGCCGCAGGTAAGAGCGTGGCAGGTGCGGGGGGCCTACGGGGAGCCGGAGCGCAGTCGGCCCCCAGGGCGCACTGGAAGCCGCCACACAGCATCGCCACGTGAGAGAGGATCCAGAGACTGTGGGATCCCGGAAAACCCGAGCCCGGGTTGGGAGCGCTGCTCGCAGCGAGGACGGCGGCGGGCAAGAGTTCTTGGGCGCTTCTCCCTCGGCGATCTTTGGAGGCGGCTGGGCTCGAAACAATGGTTTAGGATGGACCCGGCGGGAAGGCAGGAAGCCACGGAGCCCCAGATGGTGTAGGACTGTGGGAAGAGGGAAGAATCTAGGTCCTGGTGTAGGCCCACAAGGAACCCCGGGGAGCTGGCCTAAATGACCTCTAAGCCCCCTTGAACAGCGGCGTCAGGACGCAGGCCTGGGCCCCCAGAGCACAGCCACCAGGGCCGGGGAGAGAGCCGTTCAGGGGCTTTGAAACCAGAACAGCTTTGGCCTTGTCTTCCTCCGCAGAATAGGGATGGGGGACCCCCAAACTAGAAGGGAGAGAAACTGAAGGGAGGAGGTGCCTTCTTCAGAGTACACCACCACCTCCACCACCACCAGCCTGGCCTTGGCCTTCCAGCAGGCCCCTGTGTAGAGGAGCTGATCCTTGACTGGGCAATGAATTTGGCTGCCCTAATCCAGGCCGGTTGTAGAGGCACTAGGCCTGGGGACAGAGGTGGGACATGAAGGCCTTGGTGACCAGAATAACCTTAGGAAAACAGCCCAAGGCAAACACTTTCTCATATGCAAACTTGCTGTCTCCCAGGCTTAGAACAAGCTCTGAGGTGGACATAGACACACAGATATTCCGATAGTCATACACAGGTCTACACTTGCATTCTACACACACACACACACACACTTCTTTAGGGGTCAAGTCCTCACACTCATGTGGCCTCAAACAAACCACACACTCCCAAACCCACAGGGCAGGACTAAGCAGATTTAGAAAGATCTGGTAGCCTTTCCCCACTTCCTCTGCCTTCCCTTCCACCTCTGAGATCAGGCACTTAGCTCTCAGCCACCCACAGCTCCACCAGGTGCTTCTTCCACACACAGGCCAAGGGCACTCCTGGCCTTGTCCAACAGGCACCTGCCTGCCCCAGGGGCCCAGGCCCTGTCAGGTCCCAGAGGGGATCCGTGGAGGCTCACTGTGCAGAGCCAGGGGACTCACAGAGTTCCTCTCCGGGGCACTTGCTTTTTCATATTTGAAAGAAACTCACCAAGGAGACCTCTGAGGGGGCCAAGATATTAGGCAAGAGAAGAACTGAGCAACTCCCAAACTCCTGGTGAGAAGGTGCCAGAGGTTCAAGAAAGAAAGGGGAGAGGGCTCTGTGCCTCTCTGGGACCTTCTGGGCCCCCCTTGCCAGGCTGGCCCTTCTACTTGCATTAGGCATTGGGGATGAGGGAAAGGGCCAGCCATTTGACCTGGGACTGCCCCTGACCACAGTGTGACCTGAGAGCAAATAACTCCACCAGACTCCCCTTTCCTCATCAGTACCATGGGGCAGTAATAGAAAAGGCTTCATGGGTCACAAGCGGTCCCTCTGGGAGCCCCCTCCTGCATTCCCTGGGGTCTCTGTGCTATTTGGAGTGCCCAGTTCTGAGGAGAGAGCAAGCCCCAGCCGACTGCTCTAGCAAAGTAGTAAACTACAGATTGGAAGGAAAGACAGCCACCAACTCCTGTAGGCCCCCAAGCCCCTGCTACCTAAGATGGAGGCACAGTGCAGGCCACCCAGCCAACTCTGTCCCCCCACCCCAACACCCCACTTAGCAACTGAGTTTCTCTGACCAGGAGATTTCTCATCTTCTGTAGGAAAGGGATTAGGCACGTTGTGTGGAAGGAGGGGAAACTGAGGCATTAAAGGCAGAGCTCTGCCCTTCGAAGAGGTAGTGGAGGAGAAGGGTCTCCAATCTGCCACCACGCAGGGAAACTGAGGCACACATGGACACCCGCCCTCTACCACGGTTGTGAAAGTGTTCTCAAAAGCGGGGAATGAAGTTCAAGGGGGAAAAAAATCCTGAGATGTTCCCAGGAGCTTGGGAAAGGGCCTGGAAACAGCCTTGGCATTAGGCCTGGTCCTGCTGATCCGGTTCCCCACCACGGACTGTTGAGAACCCAAAACTGTCCCGGTTCTGGGGGTCGGTCCCCAGAGCAGTTCCAGTTGAAGGGGAGACTCCGAAGCCTCCGCTTCAGGTACAGTTGCCCGCATTCAGGGCACCCCGCGAGGGCGACGGGGCCTGGAAGCTGCACCCGGGCGCAGCCGAGGGAGTGCAGGGTCCGGAAGTCTCCGGGCCGGCCCGGGCTACTCGGAGTGGTCTACCGAGGAGGTGACAGAAGCCCTGCCGATTTCAGGCGTCCCTACGCCGTCTTCAACCTCCGTCCGTTCTAAAAGGGCAATGATCAAGGGGCTCGGCACTTTGCTCGAGTGCAGGACGTTCGCGTTTTTACGAAAGAGCCCCAGAGTCCTCGCGTGCGGCACCGCCGACCCCGTCAGGCGCCCTGATGGCGCTTCGGCCTCGCCGAGTCCGGGTCCCACTCTGGGGGGCCGCGTGAGCCCCGGGAGACGGGCCAGAGTAGAGACGAGACGATTCTCCGCGGCGCGGAAGAGCCTCCTCGTCCCCAGGACCGGACCTCGGGGCTCCTGGTCCCCAAACTCTTGGCTGGACTCGCGGAGCCTCCGCCGGCGTGGCAGGCCTTGCCGGTGCGTCCGGGACGCGGGGAGCTGCCGTGCCACCTCCGTCTCTTTCGCTTTCGGTTCGGTGCACGCAGGTTTTCGTTGCGAGCAAATTGCTCCCTCCACACCCACCGGTCCCCGAAGGCAGAGCCCTCAGCGCCGAGGTGCGGGGAGCCAGCGGCCGGGCCGAGCCCTGGGGCACCGCCGAAGGGCGCGTCCTGATTTTTCGAATTAGATGCAGTGTTTAAATGCGTTTAGATGCGGGGAGTATTGATCGACCCGCCCCGATGATACGATCCACGCACCACGAAATGTGTGAACTCCGATGGGGTCCTACTGAATTTAGCCAAGAACCGGGATTTTTTTGTATCTGAGAAATCCAAAAGCTACTGGGAGAAACCAGGCGGGCAAAAGCAAAAGGAGCGGCCGGTGATTGTGCAAAGAGCCGGAGAAAACTGATCCCGAGGGCAGCGACCCCCGGGCGGCTTTTAGGGAGAAGGAGGGGAAGGAAGATGCTTTTAATTTTTACTTTGTTAATTTCCATAGCCGCCAGCCTGCACAAACAACCCCGCCTAACACACGGGCTTTTAACCAGGCAAACGGAAGGCTTGGATTAAAAGTCTAGCATCCTTTTAAATCATCGACCTGCACAATTTCTTCTTTACTATAATTTATGTTTAGCGAAGCACAAGCGCTTGCATGGAAAGTCTGAAGAATTCTCAGGGACGTGGACACCCGTGTCACTACCACGTGGATCGAGATGAGAAGCATTGTGTGTTGGATACGTGCACAAACTCCCTTGAGGGAAAAAACGCAGGTTAAGAAAAGCTCAAGAGGTTCTTCGGAGCGTCGGGAGCTGATCTTGTCCCTTGTGATAGTGTTCCTGGAGTAGGGTGACCTTGTACGCCCGGGCGTTGCGCAGTTGAGTCTAATACGAGGTTACAACCGCGAACTTCCGTCCTTCTCTAGGACCCCGGCGGGGCTGCCCGGCTGTCCGGAGCCCCGAGCCGGCAATCGCCGTTGCAGTTCGAGCCGCGGTGGGAAAACAAGTTATAAGATCACACATAAAATCTGGCCGAGGTCCCCAAGGACTTCGCTTTGGAGGGCAGCCGGGCGCACTCACCTTTACCCGGCCTAAGCCCCTTTCCTCTCCGAGCTTTGCGCGCGCGCCTTTGTTTCGGTGGCAAGTTGATACGAAATGGAAACGCATCTGCGGCTGCGGGATGCCGCGTTTGTCCGAGGTTCTGGCTTCTTCGCTGACCTCTGGAACCCGAGGCCCGAGGCAGCCGGCAGGGAGAGGAGGGTAGAGCTGCCTGAAGCCGCCGCGGCTCCGCGGGGAGGGGACCCGGAGACCGGAGGCCGCGCTCTAGCCGTGAGCCTCTCGCCGCTCCGCTAGGCGAGTCGGGTGAACCGAGGCGCGAGCGCTGAGAGGAGACCCAGCGCTTGAAGGGACAGCCTCCCAGCTTCAGTGTCCCCCGAAAAGCCCTTGCTCTGGAAGGCGAACATAGGCCCGGACTCCGTTTTGGATGGGGCGGTGAGAGCGCCAGCCCGGGTCTGGACGTCGGGTCCGGACGTCGCCTGCCCGGCGCCACCTGGCCACGTGCGCCTGCAGCAGCGGGGTTCTCCAACTTTGCGCTCCCCACACTGAGCAGAGAAAGAGGGTCATCAGATTGGGAAATCACAGCCGCTTGCACCCAACTAAGTGCAGATACCGTCCTGGGAATCCAGAGCGGAGGCCAGCGGTGCCCCCTTGCTTAGGCGCTGTGGGCCATCGGCAGCTTCGACCAAGGCTCCGCTAGACAAGTAAAAGGTACTTTTCCAAACAGGGCCCTTTGGGGGGAAAGGAGGAG